GAGGTTTTGCAGGCTGGCTGTGTGACCTTAGACAAGTCAGTTTACCTCCAAGAACCTCAAATTCTTCATCTTTAACTGGGAGTAAGAAAAGTACCTTTCTCATTGGATTTATGCAAGTGTTAAATGACATATTGGGTATAAAGTGCATCAAACGTAGCTAGTGTTCAATAAAGGATGACCTTCATCATTGCCATCACCACCACCGCCCCACCAGCATCTTCATGATCATCATCCTTATGACCATAATTCCCTTCATCATTACTGCCACCACCACCACCATCAACAACACCATCAACATCCTGATTATCGCCGTATATAGAATCCTTATAGAGCCTGTCATTTAGTAAACACCTCTTCAACAGCCAAGGAAGTTGAATTTAAATCAAATGAATCAACATGAGCAGGGCCAGGATTATGCAGAGAACCAATGCAAAGGCAGTAGAGAGCAGGGCTTGGCCTCTATGCCTTCAGTTTCTTATCTGGGAGTCCTTCCTCCCACACCAAGCTCTGCATGTAACACGAGCCTCTGTATCCCTTAGGTGCGAATGGAATTCCAGAAATGGCTTCGAGGGCTGCGGAAAGAGGCCGAAACTGAAAGCACTGAGGTATCTCACGTCACCACCCACACCAAAACGGTATGATGTGCTCTCCTGCAATGCCGTGCACCTGTCTGGGCCCAACATCTTGTCTTAGTCTTTAAAGCGTTTTGGTCAGTCTCCTCTCCCTGTAAGTTTCATCGTTTTGGCCACTGTTGTTTCCTTTCCGCCTAGATAATGCCCGGCCAGTGGAAACTGCTCACTTAATCTGAATATCTAAATTCCTTGCGTAAGGTTGGGGAAACAGAAGCTGGGAAAGCTCAAGCGACTTGCTCAGAGCAGCTCAGCGGTCAGAGGGATTCAAAGTCAGATCTGTTTTCTCCCAAAAGTTGGCGGCTTTCCTTGGTTGTCACCAGTTGTTCATGTCTTCAGATGGTCAGCGCATTTAGGGACAAGCTGTTCATGGGACACACAGTTTCACACTGAGGATAATTCTGTTTAGTGGCTACTGACTGTCCTAAAATTATTCTGTTTCCACACTAAATGCCACTGGTCATGCCTTGTCGAGAATCACCAACAGTCAAAGGGTATGTCAACTCAAACTGTGTGAATGAACTGTCTCTACAACAGTGGTCGCCAAAAACATGTCACATGGATTCTGGGGTTCACCAAATCTGAGTTCGAATCTTGGCTCTTTTGTATTCTCCTGGTAGATGCCTAGGAAGCAGCTTAACCTCTCTGAGCCTCAATTCACTTGTCATTGAAATGTCTGATTGGTTGGGGATCAAAATAATGTCTCTGGGATGTGAGGGCGATCTGGCTGCAACATCTGTCACCCCGTGGATCGCCAGGTTTGATTCGGTTGATCTGGCTGGCTAGGCAGGTGTCCCCTTCCTCCCTCGCCGCTCCATGTGCGTGCCTCCTGAAGCTGCCAGCGCTCGGTCAAAGAGGACCACCATCCTCGATAGAGGAGGCCCGTTCTTCTCGGTCAAGGGCACACGAGTAGCTGCCCTCCCTTGCTGGACCCTCCAAACAAGCTCCCAAAATAATGTACCTGGAAACACTTCGCTGCTGAACGGCATCAGCACCACTTTTTATTAATTCCAAGTGATCAAGAGTCAACTATGTAGAAGGTCCTGGGCAATAATCATAATCCTGTATCTTTGGGCAACACTTTACATTCTGAAAAGCGTGTAGTCAGTCTTATGGTTGTCATTAATCCTCCGCTGTGTTTAAGTGATCCATTACTGCTGTGTTTAAATGGGACCCAAGTGCCCAGGTTCCAATCCCAACTCCACCACCTCTAGGCTGTGTGACCTTGCACGTGCCACTTAGCATCTTTGAGCCTCAGTTTCTTCATCTGTAAAATGGGAATAATCATGGTATCTTTCTCATCATGAGAATTAAATGAGGTTATATATGTTAAGTGCTTAGAAGGCTGTCTGCCACACAGCAAAGACAGGAAAGGTTTGTGAAAAGATAAAGTAATATAAAATTTTAAAAATCCCATCATAGGTGGTGTTTGAGGGGTGGAGGGGAGGCTGTAGAGTCAGATATTAGGGCCTCATTCCTGAGCTTTGGACCTTAGAGAAATTCTGACTTATCTCCAGGCATGCTAGAGTTTTTGGTTAATTTCTGAGGTGTTCATTTCTCTTCAACGTTTTCTGCATTTTGTTTTCCCCAAGCAAGAAAAACTGGACAAGTCATCGGAGCTCTTCTGTGGGAGAGACCCTGCGTCTGTCCAACCGCAGCCTAGAACTCATGTTGTGACTGTTTATTGGCAAAAAACAGAAAGTTGAGCGGCGCGTGGACGACGCCCCCTCGTGGTCACACATGGATTGAACAAATGACACCATCTACCTACCATTCCCGTGAAAATGACTCCTTCCCTTATTTTGGCTTCTGTCTCCATAGAGAGGGCACCTAGGAGAATTCTTAGATCCAGAATCTGTATTGTACATCACGTGGAATTAATGCTCAAGGAATCGTTCTTAACCATGAGGGAAAAATAAGTGGATTTTCTTCTTCCAGCCATCATTACCACTTTGCAGAAGACGAATTGGCTGACATCTGGATTCAACTTACAGGTCCCTCTCTGGCCTCTCTGTTGCATTCTATGCTCCCAAAGATCTTGCATCACTTGACATTTGCACAATGCAATAATTTCCATAGGGATTCATATTTAAAATGGGGTTGCAGTCTTGCAATGCAAAAATACACCACCATCCCCACTTAGGCGTGAATTGTCACCAGGAAGGATTTTGTGGTCAGGTCACGAGACCTTTCCTGTTTTCTTTGCCTGATAACTGTTTTGAACCTACCGGATACCCTGGTTAAAGAGAGTTTTGTTTTCTTAGTGTTGTCTCCAACATGTCCTAGTATAAATGTTCCCAAACCAAAGCAGTGTGGCACGTCACAGCAGTGATTTGATCTCATTTGTTTTGTTTCTATCTGAAATGTTCCTATTTTACTATTATTTTTAACCCCCTTCCTCATTTACTAACACTGAGATGCGTGTCCTAATATTTAATCTCCAGTTCTATGGCTTTGATTTAGTTTATTTTTAAGTTTATTTATTTTTCTTTTCTCTCCCTGGCTTTTCTTGATTGACAAATAAAAATAATGTATATATTTAAGGTGTACAATGTGATGATTAAGGTGCACTGTATGTATACATATACATGCTATATATATACACATATATATAGTACACTTATACACATAGTAAAATAACCATCATAGTCAAGCCATGATGATCATAGTCAAGCTAAATACCTATCCCCTTAAATAGTTAGCATTTTTTATTCTTGATGAGAACAATTAAGATCTACTCTCTTAGCAAGTTTCAAGTATACAACACAGTATTGTTAACTATAGTCCCCATATGGTACATTACACCTCTTGAATTCATTCACCTTGCATTAAAAAGTTGAAACTTTACATCCTTTGATCAACATCTCTCCATTTCTCCCCACCCCTCAGCCCCTGGCAACCACCACCCTACTCTCTGTTTCTGTGATTCGACTGTTTTAGATTCCACGTGTAGCTGAGATCACGCCATATTTGTCTGTGTCTGGTTTATTTCACTTAGCGCAACGTCCTCTAGACTCTTCAACTTGTCATAAATGACAAGAGTTCCTTTTTTAAGGCTGAATCACATTCTCTTGTATATATATTACAGCACATTTTCTTTATCCATTCACCCAGGGATGGACACTTAGGTTATATCCATATCTTGGCTATTGTGACTAATGCTGCAATGAACATGGGAGTGTAGATCGATATTTTTTGAATCGCCAAGCAAGCAGTGTTGGCATAGCAGTTGCTGGCTTGGCTCCTTAGCACCCCAAATTTGGCAGCAGCCTACCTGCCTGATCCTTATCTCTGGATTCATTGAGTGGCTTAGGTGATCAGAGAATTCTGCAAAGGAAAGGATGTAGAAGCTGATGGCTTACAGAATCTGGCACTCACGACCCTGCCTTTAATTTGACTTCTCATTGTCCCATGAATATTACACCAGCGAAGAGTGCCCTTCTTGAAACCCCCAAGACTCTTTAAGAAATAGGAAATAAGGCTTCGTAGTTCCCCCTCTGTTATCAGTTAGAAGCTGGGGGAGCCATGGCCGAGAGTACAAACGTTTTCCTATGTGGTGAGTATTAAACGTTTTATTTTCTTTGGTTCTAAGACAGTTACATTGTATTATTCAAGTAGAGATGGTGCAAAGAGTTCAGATGGAGTTGACTTGTGCTCAACCGCAACTCTGTAATTTAATAGCTGTGTAACTCTGGGGAAATTGCTTTAATCTTCAAAGTCATACATGGATGGATATTCATAGACCCTCCTACCCTATGGCTCCCATTCATCCTTTGCTAACACCTCGTTGGGACAATGTAGGTCGCTTTGCCCAGGAGATTTTTCTCCCGTGGCATCTGTGCAGTGGAAGCAATGTCTTCAGCATCCGATGTATCACTTTGGAAGTTCTGAGGGTCTCTTCTCTGGGCTCCATGGGACTGGGAATCTTCACACATGCCCTTCACCCAAACGCCCATAATGTTAACAACTTAGGGAACTGTCAGTGAAAATAATCAATAAACAGCCTATAATAGGAATAGAAAAGAATTTTATCTGAGCCAAACTGAGGACTGTAGCCTGGGAGACAGCCTCTCAGAGAACTCTGAGGAACTGCTCCAGAGAAGAATGGTTTTCAGCATAGTTTTATGTTTTGCCAGAACAAGGAACATCAGACAAGTCAAGGATACATTACTTCAAGGTTTCAAAAAAAACCAGATCAGTATGTACATAGTTGCCCTTGGTACCTGGAAAGGGAGTCGTATCATCCAGAGTACCAGCCTTGGTGCTTCAGGAAGGAAAGCACTTAATCTTTCATTTTAACGTGGACAGTCTTAACTTCTGGTCAATGCACCTTTTTCTTTAATAATAGAAGCAGATGTACATTGTATGTTTGATAGGTCACAAACAAGCTATTCTAGAAAGCACAAAATTCAAGTTAACACATGTGTGAGCCTGGATGACTTCCCCATACCTTAATATGTGAAGATCTCTTCGATCAGAATCCTAGTACAACTCTTAAAACAGGAAATGAACATTGATACAATGAAAGCTATATTTCAAAATCTCTAAATACCGTATGATATCACTTCTATGGGGAATCTTAATAAAAAAGAGAGACAAAGGAAATTATTTACAAAACAGAAACAGACTTACAGACGTAGAAAACCACCTTGTGGTTACCATGGGGAAAGGGAGGGGCGGAGGGACAAACTGAGGGTTTGAGATTTGCAGATACTAACTGCGACATATAAGATAGATAAACAACAAGTTGCTACTGTACAGCACAGGGAACTGTATTCAATACCTTGTAATAGCCTATAATGAAAAAGCATATGTAAGGGAATATATTCATGTATGTTTGTATAACTGAATCACTATGCTGTACATCAGAAATTAATGTTGCATTGTAAACTGACTATACTTCAATTTAAAAAGGGGAAAAATGTTTAATAAGGGCCCAGCGACAGCCTTCCCAGCTACTTACTTATATCCCCATTTTTGGCTTTTAGAATGTAGGATCCTGTAAAGATTGTGGAGACAGAGCTCTTCTAATTAAAGTAGCAAAGCACTTTCTTTCCTGTGATGAGTCTGTGTCATTAATCTGCCTCATCCCTTTTCTGTCCTAGAAATCAGAAGTAATAACTGCCTTAAACTTGGCCAGAGGGATGCATTTTGACAAAACTGTAAGAAGCAGGTAAGCGTCACAACTTGATGAATTTGCATCCGCTTGGATAAAAGGCACACGGAAGGAAGATCTTGTCAGAATGGAGTGGGGTACTGTTGAGCGGGCTATTTCAGCATGGTGCCCGTGTGTATTCGTCATATACTGCTGCATAACAAGTTAACCCAGAACTTACTGGCTTAAACAGCAATCATTACCCCCCAGGTTCTATGGATCAAGAATCCAGGGGGTACTCAGCAGGGTGCCCTGGTGCAGGGTATCTAAGAAGGCTGTAATCAAGGAGTGATGACATGGAGAACCTGGAACCCTCATCCACTGCTCGTGGGAAATTATAAAGCTCCTCTGGTAAACAGCTGGCAATTCCTCAAACATTTAAATATGGAATTACCATGTGATCCAGCAATTCCACTCCTAGGTACACACTCCAGAAAACTGAAAATGTAGCTCCACACAAAAACTTGTACATGAGTGTTCATAGGGACATTATTCACAATAGCCAGAAAGTGGAAATAACCAACACATGCATTAATTCATGAATGGATAAAAGAAATGTGGTCTATCCATACCATGGACTATTACTCAGCCATGAAAATGAGTGAAGCCCTGAAACTCACTACAACATGGATGAGCCTTGAAAACATGATGCTCAGTGAAAGAAGCCAGACACAGAAGGCCACCTATTATATGATGCAACTTATATGAACTGTTCAGAATCGGCAAATGCAAAGACCCCGAGAGTAGACTGGCAGTTGCCTCAAGACTTGGGGGTAGGT